GAAGATGCCAGGTGCACTGGGAATGCTCACAAGAGGGCAACTGACACAAAGGATGGAAGCTGTAGAGAGGGGGTTGCCCTAACCAAACCACCAGAACAAGTCAGCCCCTTTTCTGAGCCATGGTTCCTCCTGACATGGGAACCCAGCCAGATCATAGTCCCAGTCTCCTAATATCTAATTTTAAATTGGTGAGGACAAGCTTGCCATACATTCTGAACTCTCTCTCTCTCTCTCTCTCTCTCTCTCTCTCTCTCTCTCTCTCTCTAATTCTCTTGTGTATTTCTGTGCTTCCAATAAACAGCTCCTGCCCTGAGCCCCACAGTACTCACCCCTCAACCAGCCTGGCCACCCCAGGATTTGGCAATCAAAGAGTGAAGGCCAAGCACAGTGGGGAGAAGGTTCCTACAGAGCCATGCTCCAGTAGGAGGTCTGTCTGATTGGTTCTGTCCCAAGCCATACAGACACTTCACAGATCAGCCCTGCCAGGCTGAGGCACTGTGCTTCATCAGTAGCAGAGAGAAACCCCTGCCGTATGCTCAGCATCATTTAAAACCCTTTATGATTCCAAAAGAAGATGAGCTCGCGTTCCCAGGCCAAGACTTTGATGGATGAGTTGGAAGTCATTAAAGAGGGGCCTGAGACATTACACTTCCGTTCGTGTCTATAATACCTGACTAAGATGCTCATCGTCCATAAAGTGGGTGTTCGCCCGAATCCATTCAGGGACACCTGGTGAATCAGTAGGTAAAAGGCAGCTGAGTGAGAGGAAAAGCATGCATTTAAACTAAAACACACAGAGCAATGCATTTCTGCAAATATACTCAAATATATGGCAAGTATAAGTCTACATGTGGGTATTTATAGAGATGTCTACATGTAGACTTACACATATACCTGGAAATATAGAAATGAGCCTCTAACACAGTGCTATAAGTTAGTGGAGGTACCTGCCAATTTAGCCATGTAAAAGATATGGAATTCTTGGGGAATGGCCCTTAGCAGAAGGGTTGGTATTTAAAAATAGCAGCAACGTGCAAAAGATAACATACACAGGAAGACTAAGATGAGAGTATTGGCAGGTGGGTGCTGGGCCCAGGCCAATAGCTACCTATGAGAAGGGTGGGAACAGGGTCAGAGGTGGTAGTGGACATGGTGTTCATAATATCTGCCATCTTTAATCTGTCCTAAGAATAAAGCACTCAATGAAAATATAAAATAAAATCCTAAATAGTTTAAATAGTAGGAATGTGAGTGTTTCATTCATTTGTCTGTGCATTTGTCTGTACATCTTATTTCTCAGAAGGTAATGGAGATCATTTCAATTGCTTCTCCATATCAATTGTGTGCTATTGCCTGTTGCCCTCGGGGCATAGATGGCAGGAGTTGTGTGTGAGCAGCTTCCAATTTTCTCCCACTTGAAAAGTCCTCAGACTTCTAAATTAGTCTAGACTAGCCCTTTACAGATTAATAAACTGTTTTTTCATTATTCAAACTAAAATAAACAAGGCCTGTTAGATTACAGAACTCCAGAGGCTAAAGGCAAGAAAAGTATGGATTCAAAGACTATCTGGGCTACATAACAAATTAGAGTCCAGACTGGGCTACACAGCAAGACCTTCAAAAAAAATTTTTTTAAGCAAATGAAATGCATAAAATGGATGCTGCTCATTTCTAAGTTCAAGCATCAGTCAAAGGCCACATGAAGTTTCTGGCATGCTGGGCTGAGTGATCAATGGGTTCTGCCATAAGTCGCTCCCAGCCTAGGAGGACAGACAGATGAAATGTGAGGAAAAAAATGAGAGTGCACTGTGGGCAGTGTGTAAGAAGGACACTTTTACTACTGCATACTATCTGAAACAAAGAGTCTTAGGGGGCTATATTTCCGCAAAAGGACATTAAAGGGGGTCTAGGAAGGCTAATACATTAATAAAAGAAATAGGAGGGAAATGAAAGACATGGCAACCCTTCATATGCCAGTCTTAGGATGTATATCCCAATGTCCTTAAAGGCAGTGTACTATACGCTTGGACACCAGCCTCTGGCACTAATGGTAAGTGGCAGAACCTTGATGGGGTCAAGCCTAAAAGGAGGAAGCTAGGTCATTAACAATATGACTTGAAGTAGATATTGGGATCTCAGTCTCCTTCTGTCTTTCTCTTGGCTTCCATGCCACTGTGAGGTGAGTACCATGCTCTATCACAATGATGGACTGAGTATCAGTGAATTAAAATCCTTCAAAACCATGATCCAAAAGTAACTTTTCCTCCAATATGTTGATTTCCTAAAATATTTTGTCACAACAGAGGGAAGCTAACTAACTCAGCCAATTACCTACATATCACAGCACTCAGCAACCCCAAAGCTAAGTAATAGTATTCTTAACTTACACTAAAGAAAATAGAGGCTCTGAGAAAGTAAGGAACCGTATGTAAGTCAATGAGAAAATATGGATTCCCACCCAGAATTGTAATTTCAAGCCTGAAAAGAGAGTGTATGTAAAGAGATGTGGGAGCCTTCAGAAATGCATGCTGTCACTTCCTCCCTAGACTTGGCTGTTCAGTGTGATAGCCTCTAGTACAAACTTGACTGGCTTTAGAATCACCTAAGAGATTGAGGCCACCCTTGATGTGTCAGTAAATATGTTTCAGAAAGAACTGAGGAAGAATAACCCACTTAGAATATGAGTGACATCATCCCATGAACTGAAGGTTTAAAAGAGGGAATTAATATCTCCATCACAGTGAACTGAGAGGTAAGGGGCCCCTGCCATCTGTTCTCACCCCTATGAATTCTAACAGAGCCTCCAACCATGATGAACTTCAAAACAGTAATAAAATAAAAAAAAAAACTCTTGTTAGTGATCTGGTTGTAGCAATTAAAATTAAAAGTAACGTTCATTGACAATTAAAAATGTGATCAAGATCAGAGAGATGCAAGATTAATTCTAAAGCGTCAGTCCTGAACACACCATTTCTCTCCATTTGCCCCTAGCTGCAAGTTGCCTGACTTTAGAAAAGGAGATGTTTTATTTCTACCTGTGAGGACACATCCTCCTTGACACACCAGGACTAAATACGACAGCTCATCCTGGAAAAGGAGATCAGGGGATGGGAGATGGCAAGGACAGCTGAGAGGAGGCACCGCCCTGAATGCTGCCTAATCCATCCGACATGGGACACACTGTTCCAGAAACAGGATGACAATTAATAGGAAAAATCTGCTCTCACATCACTGCCAAGCCTGTTTCAGGGTCTCAGCTGCTGGTATGCCTCCTTGGGGGAAGAACAATAATGCCCCATTCTTCCTTTCAGTCCACATCCTAATGTTTTCTTGTGGAGAAGAAGGAAAAGGTTGCAGAAAAAATATATAGCATCAGTGCTCATAGCCAAGGGCCCAAGGATTACCCAAGACAGAAGACTTTGAGTCACTCAGCAGCCATCCCATCTAAACCTGGGGAGCTCTATTTGACAAATGGTAAGTGCTGGTAGAAAAAGTGTCTTCAATCAAAGTGCCTGAGAGTAGTCTGGACTTATTTGAGCCATTAAAAACCTATTTCCTCTTTGGAAATTACCAGCATATGTATTTCTCTTGGTCAAAATATTTCAAATTACTCACAAACACTGGATGTATAATTCAAAGGTAGAACCATTCATGAGACCCCTAAGTTCAATCCTGAATGCCACAAAATAGGAAGAAAGGAAGGAAGATGAGGAGGAGGTAAGGGTAGGAGGAACAAGAGGAGAGGAGGGAAGAAAAGTTAGGAAATGGGAGAGGATGAAGAGAGGAAGGCAGAGAAGGAAAAGAAAACTTGGCTTGCCTTCATCCATGACATAATCTAACTCATCAAAAGCAAGGAGTTCAGAGGCAGAAGACTCCAGGACCACCAGTCTCTCTGGCCCTACATTTCAACCTTTAGTCATCTCTGGGCAGCTCTATATGCTAGCGCTCCTAATTTTTAAGGGAGACCCAGAATCTTGAGAATATAATTAAATCTAGCTCCTTCACCAAGTACAGCCACTCAAACATTTCCTTTTGCACTTGAATCCATGGAATGCTGTTCCTGTGAATGTCACTCATGTTCTCTGTTTTAACCCCTGAGCCCCAAGGTCAGGACTTTGCCACAGAAACTAGCTTCTAGTATTAAAGCCTTAGGAGTTCCTTTATCTGGATTTCATAATGTCACCAGCAAACATCAGCATGAATGTTGCTTAGGTAACCTTTAATTCCCCCTCCCTGCCCACCTCTGCCAACATCAGCCATGCATGGCAGCTCCAGCTGGGAAGACATCTTGAAAATCAGGTTTCAATTCTGATATCAGTAGTACCCAGTTTCTTTCAAATCATTTGGCGACATCCATCTCTGAGACTATGCAGGTGGATACCAATTCACCATGTTAACTCCTTTCATGCCAGATGTCTCACAGGAGCTTTGGCAGAACACCACATCAAGGCACTCCACATCTACCATATTGGGGTCCCATACTCTATACGTGGAAGCTGGCTAGCAGATTTACAAACTGTGTTGCTCTTGGCATCCATTCCCGGTCTCTGTGTAGAATTATGTGCTAAGCTCCAACAGCACAGGCAGCTTTTCAATACCAGAGTTCACTGCCCTGCATCTCACTGTGCTAAGTCACAATATGATTCTAAAGATAGGTACAGACAAAAGATCACTCAAATGTGGTGTCCCTTAGACTTCCACTAGTGAAAAGAAATTGCCATTTGCCTCATAGCCAACTTCCTGCTCAAACTGTCCTCATCACCAAGTCCATTTGAGCAACCAGTTTTCAGCATCCCTATTTGGTTCCCATAGATCCCAACACAGTCTTCAGCCCATAATTACCCAGAACAGGGTACAGAGAGTGATCTCCACCGGGACTCCTGAGATACAATGACCAGAGACAATTTCAGAGAAGACATAGAAGTGAAAACAGCATCTTTTGATGAAAAGGAGCTATGTTTCCACTACGGAACTTTTGGAACTAAAATGTGCCACCTTACCCTTCATTCCAAATTTGGACCGGCGACCGTACTTGTTGATCATGATAAAGAGAACCACTAGAAGGACACAGGCAAAGGCAGCAAGTCCGACTGCTATGGATACCTATTAGGAATCAAACAGAGATGGTCAGGAGCAGCGACAGGAAGCCTCGGAGCCTCTAAAGTAATGCGTGTGCCCAATGAGAAACAGTTTCAGCAGAATAGGGTCCCCTAAAACCTTTGCTACTGAGGCGTCTGCAACCTGATATCTAAATGCCACACGCAACCAGGACACCAATGCATAGAACAATGCCATGGCACAATGTCAAAATATTGGGCAACTCTGGAGGAACGTCTTTAGAAGTGGTTTATGAGACTCTAAGAGAACTTTAAGACTTTTCTTTAAAAAATAAAAATGAATAAGCTTGGTTATGGGAGGTTCCCTGATTCAATACTCTGAGCCCTTCTTACCTGGAGACTATTCTATGAGTACAATAGAAAGCTGAAAGAAACTTCTGTCTAGGGTTTTAATTAGCAAGTAAATTGGGTATCTTTACACTGAAATCCTCATGTAGTATTTCTACTCAGAGAGGTCTAGGAGTTTTGGAAACAACAGACCCCTTTCTTCTTCTCCCCAGGAAAACCTCAGACTTGAGACACACACGGGAAAACCTATCCAAAGAGATTCTCTGAGTAATTTGAGGTGGTGTAGAAGGTTTGCCCAGTCAGTAGGCCTTGCAAGCCTGCTGGGCCTGGCTCACAACAGACTGGGAATTTCAAACTGTTCTCTTCCAAGCCCTAGGGCTTTGAGCTGGTCCTTAAAGGCCTCTTCAAACAATGAGGCACTCCCATCAAACAAGAACAGTTCAAACCACCTCAAAGGAAATTATCCTCACTGTGCTTTTCTTTCTACCACTGGTACTGAGGCTCCAAGTATGAGACTTATGTGGGAAAGTTAGCACCTGGATTGAAGCCTGAAAAGGGTTCTACCCTTCAGTATTTTCCTCTTAATCAGGAAGAAACTCACCCCAAAAGTGTCTTCCTCTGGTTTGTGGGTCACAGTGATAGGGGGTGTCGGGCTCGTATCAGACTCTGAAAAGAAATACAAAGGAGAAGATGGCAGTTAGCTTACCACCCTGCCCTGTCCTTGGGAGGCAGGTCCCTAGAGCCACCCTCCTAGCTGAGCAGACACCCTCGGGGACTGAGGGAGTCCCAGGATAGCTACCTGCCTCATGTTTCAGTGCTACCAAAACATCTCAAAAGAATGCAGACCTCCTAATCCCGGCCCAGAGAACACACCACCCTGAATTGCATGACAGGAACGATGAAAATGGCTTGGAATCCTAACTAACATGGTGATTAGATTTTAACAGTGGCAGCAGCCATCACTGACATTGTTACTCCTTGTTTAGGGTACCTCTTCCATTTTCCCTTCCTGTCTCATCCCTTCCTTCTTTCACTCTAACTCTTCAGTGAAAGCCAGACTCACATCTTAATGAACAGTCCTCTAGCCATTCCCCTAACACTGATTTCAGAACACAATGGCAATTAGAATTGAACAACATTCAATGGACCAGAAAACACCATTGGGGGTCATCCTCTATCTGCCATCACATCATGTAAGAAACGGTCCCAGCTCTGATTCTCTTAAGGGACACCTGTGGGATTATACGATGCTTTTCATGACCAAGAACAAGTGAAGGAGTCACAGTTGGCATTTACACTTGTGCCAAATGGCCAGGCTATTCCTAAATAGGGTTGTTCTACCATTTCTGTCCAATTTCAGGCCCAATTGAACAGAAATGGCAGTGGCTGCTGCTGCTCCTATCATGGGGGAGTAATCAAGAAGAAAGAAAAACCCCAACTCCTTCAAAGATTGTCCAGAGTTCTCCTCAACTCTATTATAAACTGGACTTCAATGATGCCATTCAAGGACATGTGAGCTCCTGAGAAACACTTCTACCCAAGGTAGGTTCTAGCCAAATGCTTGATCTCTTAAGGCGGGTGAGAAACATGAGCAAGTTTACAGGCTTTACGTTTTCTCTGAGGTGACCAGTGGGGGTCTACCTAGGCACATGAAATCTATTGGTCACCTTCTGCAGCCTCTTTTCAGCCAGGTAGAGAGATTGGCATACCTTACAAAATGCCCAGAGTGGGGCAAAGTGGGGATAGAGTTCAGCTTTAGAATACTGCCTAACCCTGTATTTAATCCTAGTACAAAATGAGGAAGTTGGTAGTCCTCTAGGAAAAACTATGATCCAGGGAAACTACCCAGGAAAAGTGGGCCTAGAACTTCAAGATATGCCAACACCTTCAACTGCCAAGGGGCTGGAAACATTAACTAGGCAAAAGGGCAATCTGAATTTCACAGGCCCCAAACTATCAGGACAAAAGAGTTTCAAATCCAAGCAGACTTACCAAAGTCAAAGAAATCTGTGCTTTCTGAAGGAGGGAAAAAAGAACAAAGAGGTAATTAACAAATATAATAATAACAAAAAAATCAGTTGTAGTATAGGATAGCCTTCTAGCTATGACCTCTCCCACTTACAATTCCCCATTCCCACAGCAAGGGACACTTAGAAATCCTTCCTAAATCACCCTTTCCAGCCACTGCACAACCTCTTCAGGGAATATTCCTCCAAATGGAGGCTCTACAGATGCAGCTGGTGGCTTCAAAGAAGGAAGGCCACCTGCAAGCTAACAACCAAGCTAGTTTCAGTGTGAGGCAGAGAGCTGAAACCCTAGCCACTTCCCTGCCCACAGCTGTCCCTCCTTCAGGTACTAGAACACTGGAGATGGCACTAGGGAGCAGCTCCAGCTTTAACACTAAATTTCCTTCCCTCAATATGTGGTCACTAAGAAGCTTGGGAGACCACCCCCCAACAGCCACCAGAATCTTATCATCCATGTGGACATGTGTTATATGCACTTTGACTCAGAGAAATGGCTCCCCCAGTAATGAAAGCTAACCCTCAACTGGGCATTAATTATGAGCCAGGGCCTGTGTTCAGTGCTTCCGGTGTTACTGTCCTTCAAGCCTTATGAAGAATACCCGAGTTGTAGAGATTAACTAATTGAGTACCATTCATCTAGAAAGAGATTGGAGTTGATTCTAATCTAAGACTGGGCTCTTAAGCACTCTACCAGCACTGCTCATACTTGAGCACAAAATAGAACGAATCACCAGGAGGTGACTGGCACCACCCTCCACTAAAAGGAATGAGAATTTCTTATAGGAATGGACAATTTCATATATGGGACAGGAAAATAAAAGATGTGCTTCACCAGAAAACAAAGTGCTTGAAGATATATGGTCCTGGGAAGAGAAAGTGGGCAGTGATGCATGGGTGAAATGTTTGCTAACATGGTGTGTTATGGACCGCACCATGTTGCCTCACAACACATATGACTAAGTTGTAACTCCAGTACTTGAGGATGTTACTGTATTTGGAGATGAGGTACATAAGTGAAAATGAGGCCATTTGGGGTCCATATAAGAAAAAATTAGAGCACAGATGTGCTCAGAGGGGAGGCTTAGTAAAGATGCAGAAAAGACACACCTACAAGCTAAGGAGAGAGGCCTTGGAAGAATGCAAGCCTGACAACAGTTGCTGTCAGATTCCCAATCTCCAGAACTGTAATAAAGTGGACTTTTGCTATTTAAGAAACACAGTCTATACCACTTTGCTATTACAAACCCAGACAACAAATACAGGAATCGCAAAAAACACCCACAAGTGCTTTATATATAACAATGTGTAATTGAACAAATGAATGGGGGGGAATCTCTTCTTCACAGTAGAATTCCAGCTAATAAATGGAAGGTTGGAAGCAGAAACCACCATCATTTGACAAATACTATAGTAATAAATGCTAAGGCATGAATCATCAATGAATGTTAAAAATTGTTGTATGAAGAGATGAGAAACAAGCTATTTGTGTCCTTTCAAATCATTATTCTGATAAACTAAGGGTGAAATAAGGCACTGTGCAGTGGAGGACTTTGGCAAACATCATCTTGACCAAGCGATAAAGTTGACCTCACCACTGATAAGCCATGTCAACATCCTACATTCTTCAACTGGATGGACCAAAAGAGGTGGAGAAATACTTCCATGTGTGTGGGGGGACAGGAATAAAGAAAAGGAAAGTGAAAAACTGGAATTTAATCATGAGAAATAGATAAGAAAAACTCTGTAACAACTAGAGACTTTTCTTTAGAGATCACTGAGGGCCTATCACAGCATCAAAGGAACTGAGGTTATAGTGTGGAAACTAAATTTGATATCTAATCCTAGGTGTGATCCTACAAAACACGGGGCACTGATGGGGCCTCTGACCACCTGTCAACAGTCTATAAATTAGATAATGCTGCTAAACCAATATCCTGGTTCTGAGACCCAGGTTGTGGCTGGATGAGACAGTGACATCTGTGGAGGCCCAGTGAAGAGAAGAGGGTACTTTGCAGCGTTTTGTAACTCTTGCCTTTTTTAGAGCCCAAGTTATTTCAAAGTGAAGTGAAATCACATGAGGACTAGGTCCTTAACCCAGAGTTTCTGATTCATGAAGTCTGCCTGCATCTTGAGAGATTGTATGTGTTGCTGAAGATGGAAGGCCTCACACATGCTAGGCAAGCTCTCTACCACCAAACCAAGTCACCAGGCCCTGGTGCTATCTAAGCAAACCCTCTACTGCTGAGTCATATATCCATCTCCACACTGATGCAGTCTGAACAAGACCTCTACCACTGAGCCATGTCCCTAGCCCGGAGAATTTGCCCTAATTCTCAGGTGATAATGAAGTTGCCAATCCCTCTGGAAGGGACAGCACCACACTACCACTTCCTGTCACAAGCCTACCAGGCCCTGAAATATAAGAACAAATCATTTACTGGCTGGCTCATCAGTTGCTTCGCTGATTCACTTGCTGTGGTCCTACCCTTGGTCAAGCCCTTTTAGGAACTGTAGCCATATGAACTAGTAGGTACTTGTCTATCACTATTTTCAGGCAAGGGGTTGCTTCTGTGTAGTCCATCAGGAAAGGTTCACTTTCAGCAACTGTTGTCTGGCTGGATTTTTGTTTCCTGTTCTGTACAACTGTGGGGAAGATATGGCTTGGGGGATAATAGAGGAAATGGGGTTTTTGCATAGGCTTCAGAGCATGAAAAGAAAGACGAGCCAGATTAATCAACAGTATCCACCTACTTTATATTTCTCAGCAGGCTCCCATTTATCAGAGAATATTTTTCCAGCAGCCAAATATTTTGGCCAAGTGTTTGAACCCTGTAATCTCAAAGTCAGCCTACGATTTTGAGCATAAATCACAAGTCCTTTGCTAGAGCCAGGCAGCATACACACATGCAGTAAGCACATGAATTTTGGAACAGGGAGACATGTTGGCTGCTCTCTAACCTTAGCAGGAATTCACACATTTATACAGGGGGAAAAAAGATACTAAAAATTGTCTTCTTATGACCGCTACCACAGGCTGGAACAAGGACAGAACCAGCAGGATCAGAACTGGGCAGTGGATGGATGCATATGATTGCTATAGCCCCAAACAATAACTCTCCAAGAAACTCTCTCTCTCTCTCTCTCTCTCTCTCTCTCTCTCTCTCTCTCTCTCTCTCTCTCTCTCTCTCTCTCTCTGTGTGTGTGTGTGTGTGTGTGTTTACACACATGCATGCATGTGTAAGAGAAAGAATGCATGGCATGTGATGGGAGATGTCAATGTGCATGTATATATGATCTGTGTGCACAGTTGTGTGTGTGCATGTGGAAGCTAGATGGCTCGCTGAACAGGGAGCTCACCATTTCAGCTAGGTGGACTGCTCAGCAAGCTCTCAGGATCAGTCTGCCTTGTCGCTGCCTCCCCCATGCTCTGGGGTTATAGTCATGTACATCATGTCTGGTTTTTTAAAATGGGTTCTTGTATAGCGAGGGCTTTTTTCCATTAGAGTAATTCTCCAGCCCCTCATCAAAACTTTTTCTTAAATAAGATTTGTTTTCATTAGGTTTGTTTTTGTGTGCCATAGAGGCCATAAAAGGCCATCAGGTCCCACCCAGGTGGCTTTGAGACATGAGATGTGAGTGCAACAAGAGCCCTTAACCACCAAGCCATCTCTCCCGACACCTCCATCATAACTTTTGAGGGAGAAGCAAGTGAAATAGCTTGTCTAAGGTCACAGCTTACAAGTAATTGTACCAGCACCTGAACTCTGGTTTGCTGGTCCATAGTCACTACCCTAACCTACCCTGGAACTACCTGTTAGAATTTTCTACCTGGACTAAGAATGACTACTGACCTGGAACTCCTGAATTCTCCTCATCTCTGCACCCCCAAAACCATAACAAGAGCCAATAGCAATGAAGTGTTTTATTTGTCCCAGTATACTGCTGAATGAACGTCTTTGTTCTTCAGTGCAACCTAAGCAGGGGCTACTGTAATCATTCCCATTCACAGGCAAAGAAGCAGAGGCATTGAGCAGTTTCTCCCTTGCACAGAACCCAGAGAGCTGTCCATGTGCTAAGCCAGTCTAGCATCCTGGGTTACCTATCTGAAAGACTAACAGATGTATGGGACTTGTATCTAAATCTGCCCAACCTCAGAGATCTGGCTCTTAGCCATAGCACTTGGCTGCTTGGGAATGAGAAAAACAAACACATGATAAATAAGATGCCTTAACACTCTCAGGCCAACAAAGAAGAGTGGGATCCACAGGCTGCTGTTGCCGCCAGCACAAGGTTGAGCTGAGAGGGCTGTAGGTTATTCCTGCCTGCTCCTCCAGATAATTTACTCTTCTGAACACTGAGATATCTTGTCACTTGACATGGCTGGCCCATCTTTTCTGCCACTGCCCTTTCAATCATCCATCAATTCCTTTAGCACAAAGGTTCATGAAACAAGCAAACTTCTCCGCAGAGGGGTTCATCCTGAATTATGGACAAGCTAAGTGTGCCACTTTCTTTTTCCAGCTTCTCTGGGGTTCTGTCCTCACTGCTTCCCTCCTCCTGGGGTTGACTTGCCAAGAGGGCTAATAGTAGCTGACTGCGAAGGAGGGATTGCCAAAGTCACCTGGGGAACTGAAAACCCTTCTCTACAGGACTCACCCCTGAGTCTCTGATTCATGAGGATGAAGGGAGACTGAGAATTTGAATTTTAACTCATCCCCAGGTGTTACTGACTCTGGTTGTCTAGGAACCTTGATAACCAAGCCTGGGACACATTGACAACCAACTATGGTGAATATACCTGTAAGTAAAGAGGCTGCCTACATGGCTGGAGGATACTGAGGTACTGCTTTCTCCTGAGAGAAGAGAGGGTAAAAGGAAGACTACACCCCTCACATCACCCATTGCCCCTGCTGCCCTGTACCTTTCAGAACACTCTCTGCAGGAAGGAGCTCAAAGTGGCTCACCACCATTTTTAATATTCTTGAGCTCTCTCCATGTCCCAGGAGCTTCCCTTTGGAAACAGAAATGCTATTTCACTTTACCCATCGTGGAGTAGAGATGCAGATAGGTTATAGGGGTCATACTGGCTCTTGGTGTCAACAACTTTGTGGGCCTTGAAAGCAGATTATCTCCATACAGAAAAGCCACTAATGCCACATTGCAGGCCAGGACTCTTCTTCCAGCCAAAAGAGAGCCCTCTGTGGTCCCTGGTGGGAAATGTCTTTAGGTGAGCACACTTGGGTGGTGTTGGGAAGATCAGGGCTTAGAGAGTGCTAGGGTCTCAACAATCAGCCCATTACCAACCTTTTCTGAGAATTAGATCATCATTCCCTGGACTCAGTGACAGGCCTTTGGGACACCATTTAGCCTCATGTCTCCCATGTCACTTGTGGGGCACCAATTTTCCTTCCCTTACATTGTGATAAATAAGCTCCCCACAGCCAGCACCCTGCAGTTATTTGTAACTATAAAATCATGTTCCTCCAGACAGACATCGTATGGTGATAGCTTTTGGAGCCTCCCCACTTTGGAAGTGTGCGGTTCAGTCCTTATACTTCTCTTTGTCCCTTTAGGACCTCTCACCTCTGAGGATTGAGGATCAGGTAGTCACATAGTCTGTTTCCAGCACAAACCACAAAAGTCACCAAAGACACACAGCTGTGTGGGCATCAGCTCCATAACCCACCAAGCAATGCTGCAACCAGCCTTTCTTTTCTTGTTTTGGACTTTTCTTCTTCTCCAACTTCAGGAAGGTGTTTGGACAGATTGAAAGAGGCAGAATCACCTCCCCAAGTTCAGAGTCAGTGTGACATTTGCACCATCAGTATCTGGTAGCATCAGCAACTTCCCTTCTAAGTTACCATGGAACAAGAGGCAATTCCAAGGCAAGCCTTGCTGCTGACTAGCTGACTGGAGCTTGAGAGAGTGATCTGTTAAATGTGAGGTTGATTTGAACCAACTCTGAAGTTCACTGCGATGAAGAATCACTGAGCTATTATAGCATATCAAGCCTCCATCTTAACTCATTCAAAAACCATCAAACACTTAGGGGAGCAATGCAGTCACTCTTGTGCCTATTTCACAGCTGATGGCATTGAGGCTTCAGACAAGCCTACTGTCAAGCCCAACATAGCATGCTCAGGTAAGACACTGAGTCAAAATTCATTACCATATTATCCATCTCTAAAATCCCTGGTTTCTCTACTATAATACAGGACATCTCTATATGTACAGCAGGTTTGGGGGTGGAATCCTGGAGGTAGTTGTGGTAGCCATGGAAAATGGAGGTTATCCTAGTTAGCACAAGGTGCAGATGATGTCTGCCCCTATCCCAGTGTGAGTTCAGTTAGTTAGGTAACTGTGGTCATCAGTGCTGCCTCTTCTTTCAAATTGCACCCCTTCCCCAGCTCCGAGAAGAAATGGGTGCATGTCTCACCTGGAAAGGGCTCCTTAAGGAAGTGTCCATTGATGGTCTGATTGGCTGTGCCCAGGGCATTCTTAGCAATGAGGGTGTAGTTGCCATTGTTGTAGTGGGTGGGCTTGTTGAAGAGCAGGCAGCCCTCAGAGACCTCACCCTCCTGGTAGTAGTCCATGTGAATGATCTTGGACTCCCTCAGTGGCTGCCCATTGTACAGCCAGTGCAGCGTGGGTGTCGGGTTGCCACGCACCACAAACTCAATGCAATGCTCCAGGCGTACCTCAGGCTCCACCAGGCTCACCACACGTGGGGGGTCTGTGGGGAAAAGCAAGCTGAACTCGAGGACATAGTCTCCTATGCACTGAAGAAGCCTTCTAGGAAGCAGGATGGGGATCCCACTTCTCACCCTCCTCTGAAAAGGCTGGGTAAAGCCAAGTTCCCACCACCAGCCAAGAGAGGAGAAGAGACGTATGTCTTTATCTAAGCTCCCTAGATCTATCTTAGCTGGAGCTCCCCTCTTGAGTCTTTTCAGGGATGCCAACTGTAGAACTGAATTGCAGAGGTATACCATCCACTGAGGGTCAAAGAAATTCTTTCCTGGGTTTATTGTCCCAGAACTTATTTTTCAGTTTTGCCTTATGAAACCCTTACTGCCTTTGTTGAAAGACTAGGGTTGGGGTTCTAGATCAGACCTACCAATGGACCTGCCCCATCCCCAGCCTCCTCCTGGTACCTCTCTGTCGTCCATGATGGCATGCACTTACAGTAGACAGTGAGAGCAACACTGGCATTGCTCATGCCCACCACGTTCTCTGCAATGCACGTCAGGGTGAAACCATTGTCCTCGCTTGTCACATTCACCAGGGTCAAGTTGATGGCGTGTACATTGGTCCAGTTCAGATTGGTCTGAAAACCCCAACCAGAAGATAATAACCAAACCATTTGTCCAAAAATGGCTTCCTTTTCTAACCCCTAACACCTCCAGAAATCAAGCAAAGGGTGAATGAAATCTAGCTAATGAAGATACATGACCATGTTCTAGATTCTTTATAATTCAGTTGATCCTCACATTAATACTAGGTAGTAAGTGGGAAAATTGTTTTTTTTTTAATTTTTCTTTTGCTAAAGAAAAAACAAAGTACAGAAAGTTGAGTACCACAGCAAAGACTGAAATGACAAGAAATCATGACATCTAGATAGAATCTGAGGCTGGGTTTCTTCCCAGAGGGACAGGATCACAATTTCCCCCTCGTCTTTTTAACTAAGGGGTACCCGGTTCTTCATTCTTGCTGTCCCTGGTCTTATGATGCCTACCTGGTGGGTGTTGATGGACTGCAGACCAGTGACTATCCAATCCACATCAGGCAAGGGGGAGCCAGAGCCATTGCAAGTGATTACAGCATTGTCTCCTTCTCGGACGGTCAGGTTGACGTGGCTCACACTGATCTCAGGGAGGTCTGGGAGGATGGAGAGGAGAGGGAGGAAAAAGTCAGAAAACAGTACACAGAGAAGCTTCGCCCCTGAGCCCTTCTTGCCTTGCCCCGTGACAACTCTAGCACAACTTGCTTGAGCTCATGTGATAGTAACCTCCTGACCATTACTATCAATTTGACAAGCTCTAGAATCACCTGAGGGAGTCATGCCTGAGGGAATATCTAGGTTAAGTTAACTGAAGTAGGAAGACACCATATTACAGGCTGGGTCCTGAACTGAGTAAAAAGAAAAAAGTGAGTTAAGCACCAGCATTCCTTCCTCTCTGCTTCCCCACTGTGAATACAAAGTGGTCAACTCCTCGAATTCCGCTAGGTGGCCTGATTTCCCTGCCCTGGTGGGCTGTACTGTCAAACTGTGGGCCAAAACAAACTCTCCCTTCTTTAAGTTGCTTTTCTAGGATCAATGTGAAAAGTGATGACCATAACCCCATCCCAACCCCCTCCCCGCGCTGGTCCACAGACCCTCCTCTGTAGACCTCAGAATGAAGCACATACACTTCTACACAGCGGGCTGTGAGTGCTGCACCTATTCATGGAATGCCATTGCAGCAACTGAACCTAGAGTTTCAACCTGTTGGGGCACTGAGTCTCACAAACTGGTGTGTGTCAGGATCCTGTGGGAACTAGGGATTCAATTCTCTAGTGTCTAGTTGGGCATAGGAGCTAGGCCTCTAGAAAACAGCTGGGAAGCTCCTGGTATGGGAACACCAGAGGCTGCACATTAAGACATGCAACTTCATGTTTGATTGGCAGGTGACTCGGAGAGAAAGGGAATCTGATCTGTGGACTCCTTTCAGCGTTCCCGCTAGCCTTCCCGCAGCTGGCTCAAGACAGTAACTATGACCAACAAGGGAAAGGTCAGTCTGATCCGTACCCACTGCAGAGGTCAAGGCTGGAGATGGCTGGGAAGGAGACCCTGGCAGGCCAGCCTCAGGCCCAGCCCTTTCTCTGGGGTGTATGCTGGCCAGACGAGGCAATGCTGCTGCTCACTCACCACACTGACTGATGTTCATGCGGAAGAGAGGGAGTTGGGAGCCATCAGCACTGATGCAGTAAAGACTCTGGCTGTCCAGCCGGGCCTCCCCCTGCTCCTGCCACAGCTGCATCCAGCGGATGTCACAGCTGCAGTTGAAGAAGTTCTGCTCCAGTCTCCTGTGGGCAAGAAGAGAGGGGAAGGAATCCCTGAACGGTGGATGACCTAGCTCCCTCCCAGGGCTGAGGCCAATGGGCCCCTACTGTTCCTCCTTGAAATAAGCCAGACTCAGACAATCACCAAGTTTCCTTGCATTCATGAATCCTAGACTTCATATAGATGCACAAAACCATGAGAGGAGAAAGAGACAGGGAGAGGGGAAGAGTAAGAAACTAGCTGGAGGAACAAGGAGAAAGAGAAGGACATCTGGGAGTGAATATGGTCAAATGTATGTTACACCTGAACTAAATTATCTTAATGGAGTCCATCACTATGTACAATGGACATACCCCAATAAAAAATTTAAAAATAGTAAAGGAAAAAGGCTGGGGAGGTAGCTTAGCTGATAAAGGACTCGACATTCATACATGAGAATGGGAGTTTTGATTCCCAGCACCTATAAAAATGATGTAAATGCCAAGTGGGCAGGGTGGCCAACCTGTAATCCCAGCACTCAGGAGGTAGAGACACCAGATTCCTAGAACAAACTCACTAGTCAGAATAGCTGGCATCGGTGAGCTCCAGATTCCACCAAGGAAAGCAGTCAACAGCAGCCTCAGCACTCACAGGCAGGTGCACACATCCTCACATATGCTTATGCCCACATACATACACATACCCGTGCCGTGCATGCACACACACACCACACACACCATACACACACACACACACACACACACACACACCACACACCATACACACACACACACACACACACACTCACACTACACATGCATGCAAATGAAATAAAAATAATAGCAAAGGAAAGAAGGGGTTAAATGAGTTCACAAAAGAAGCAATAGAAATAACAAATAATAAATACATAGCATTAAGTCCATGCACTTAGTTTCAAAAGTAATAATTTCACTGAAAAGACACATTTTATCCTCACTTAAATCACTGGACAAAGAGGCCTTTCTACATGTGTCAAGCTGAGATGCTTGTCTTCATCTTCTTAAAATCTCCCAGTGGCTTCCCTTTTTGCTGGAATTAAAAAACCTATGAAACCTGAGTTTCTCCATCGCCTTCCTGATGTCATCTGCTCCTTATCATCAGCAAAGCCATACTCAACCTATGCTTCTCCATCATCCTGGGATGTCACCTCCAACTTATCCATGCCCCTATCCAGCCACACACCTCCTGACTCACCTCACATCCAACCACACTAATCTTCATATGCTAACTAGTGTGACTGGTTTGGACCTGATTCAGGGCTTCTATCTGCCTGCCAATTTCTCTCCCAACACATCTGCAAGACTGGTTCCCCTCACTTCATTAAGAAACTGTAGGGCACTCTCTGACCACCATCTATATCAAAGCTGCCACAACCCTGAAAAAATACTATTCACCCCCTCACCAGATGCATTTACCTGTCTAGAATTTATTACTATTTCATAACACTTTAAATATTCATATTAGTTTGTTTCTTTGTCTTCCCAGATAAAAAGTTAAGCTCCACAGAGGCCAGAGATGTAACGTGTTTTTGCATGGCTGCAATCACAGTACCTAAGACTGATCCCCAGACACATTTTCCCTGGGGGAATAGGTAGTTAGCTATTTCCAAGACATATTCCAAGGCCATTTTGGGACCAGCTTTATTCCTCCAAGAATTCAATGGGTCCTTAATGAGCACCTGTTCGGTATCTGGCCATGTTTGAATGCTGTTAATAGAGAGATGAATAAGGTAGTCCTTGTCCTCTGAGAGCCTTCACCCCAGTGACAAAGAATGGCTGCTGGGGAAAGAGTCAAGTCCAAAGCCCTTGTTCTCTGCAGAGTCTCCTAGTGCCTTAGAACAAGTCACATCCTTCCTTCATTGGGTTGTTAGGAGAGTGATGAACAGTGCTAATCAATCCCCCAAACTCTCAAAGAGCACAAGGTAAATCTGAATGCCCAGATCATTAGGGGAACATGATTCTCTCACTGGTCTATTGAGGGATTGATCCGTTGGCACCTGGAGGAAAGGCACTTGGATCATTGAATATTTTTTAAGCACTGGGTATTTTTGACAACTGGCAAATTCTAAAATAGTTAGGCATACATCAGCATTTGTCAGCTTGCAGGAAAGGGAGGGTGCAGAGAGAAGAACTCTGTTCCTGGTCACTAGGACAGCACAGGTAGCATGTACAAACAGCCACACAGCTTATCATCCTCTTGGCCTGCAAGCATCCATGACTTCTCATTCTTTGGGATCTTTTGGGAAAAAGGCAAAGGAAGGAACCCAACCTTTACTGGGCATCTGCTTCTCACAGAAATCTTGAGAGGTAGCCAATATTGTCCCCGCACAAACAAGGAAGTCCATCTAATAATGTCTGAAGGGTTTAATGGTTAATCTTTTCTGTTAGCTAGATGAACAGATTTTATAGACAATATGGAGACACACCTCTGGGCATATAAGGACATAAATGAACAGGGGAGCCCCTGCCCTGAATATGGGTGGACTGAGAGAACCTGAACTGAGCTAAAAGGAGAACGCAGGTTTAGCATCACCACTTGTCTGTTTCCTAACTGGATACAGTGTCACCAGCTGTCCTGTGATCCTATCATCCTAGCTCCCCACCATGATGGAATATACCTTCAAACCACAATAAACCCCTCCTTAAGTTGTTTTTGTCGGTTATTTGATCACAGAAATGAGAAACATAACGAAGACAGGGAGTTAGGACACATACTCCATGTTCCAGCCATCACACAAACCTGTCTTTATACTTCCCACTGCCTTTTTCCTGGGCAAATGCTGTAGAGCCTGGAGGCAGGGGGAGGCACCCACAGTGCTCCCTTGACTCCTGGGGCTCTGTCCAAGGAGACAAAGAGGTAGAGGGAAGCTGTCAAGGAGAGCAAAGGGCAGCAAGATACAGAGGTCATGTCCAGGAGCACCTGAAGTGGAAATAGAAGTCAATGGTAGAGGAGTTTTGCCAGCACATTGGGGAGTTTGGAGTTTGTGCACAGAGAGGAGAGGAAAGCATGGGGCCACCAGTTATGATGTTTTATAAGTGTGGGGTCACCATGCACAGTTGTGTGGTCTGTGCACTTCTCAGAGTCCAGCCAATGCAATGCTGGAATTCAGACGCAGTGCTCTGAAATGGAGCTACACCACTCCTGAGAAAATACCTTCTCTATCTTGTGAATAAGGGCATCAGCTGGGTTGGCTGGTAGGTCCTAGGCCTGTGTTCTTGAACTTCTATTCTCCTGACTCCAGTTAACAATTAAACTTCCCCTGGGTGCCCCCAGTAGTGTTTGTGCATATGGGCTTTATCTCTCATTGTTTGCTATTTTAGAAATTGAAGCAGTCATTTTGACAGGTGAGATGAAATCTCAAAGTTGTTTTAATTTTTATTTCACCTTTTGAGATATTTCTTAGCCATTTCTTTTTCTTCTATTGAAAACTCTTTCAGTCCACAGCCCATTTTTAACTGGATCCTTTACCTTCTTGACTCTGTTGTTTTCTAATCATGTTCTTTGTTTATAACAGATACTAATCCTCTGCATGATACATAGCTGGCAAAGATTATCTTCCACTCTATGTGTTTCTTCTTCACTTGATTGATTCTTTCCTTGTCTACACAGAATGTTTTTGTTGTTGTTGCCTTTATGAGATCCTATTAATTGTTGGCCTTAATTCCCAGACTAACTAATGGAATCCTACTCTGGAGAAGAAAGAAAGTTCTACACCTAGATCCTGTAGAGTACTGCCTAATATTTTCCTAGCAGCTTTAACATTTCATGTTTCAAAACTCAGGTCTCTGGTGCTCTTGGAGATATTTCTGCAGGGTGGTAGATATGGGAATAAATTCATTCCTCTAAATGTGGACTGAATATTTTCCCAGTACCATTTTCTGAAGATGCTGTATTTTCTCTAATGTATGTTTTTTGGGCTCATTATCAAATATCAGATAGATATAGTTATAAGTATTCATGTTTGGTCATCTATTTTGTTCTATTAGTCTACATGTCTGTTTAAATTCTAGTATCACGTTTTTATTACTATAGCTCTATAATATGCCTTGTAATTTTCAATAGCCATCCCTTCAGTATTGCTCTCTTTGCTCAGAATTGCCTTGGCTATCCAGGATCTTTTCTGAGTCTATGTAAATTTTAGAATTTTGTTCTATTCTTGTAAAGAATGCTATGGGTATTTAACTTGGGATTGCATAGAAACTGCACAATGTTTTTGGTAGGATGGACATTTTCACAATAATAATTTTACTAAGCCATGATCACAAGGTGTCTTGCCGTTTTCTATCATCAGTCTCATGTCTTTGGGAATTAGAAGTTTTTGTTGAGTTCTTTCACTGAACTCCTTGGTTAGGTTAACTTCCAGACATTTAATTGTCTGAGAATATTGTAAATTTGAATGTGTTATGATGTCTTTCTCAGCCTGTTTGTTGTTGGTAGATAGAAAGGCGACTAATTTTTATAAGTTGACTTTGCATATTGTCACTGTGCTGACAATTATTTTTGCTGATAATTGCTTCTAAAAGTTTTCTGATGGAATTTTGGGGACCTCTTATATATAATATCATGTCATCTGCAAATAGGGAAATTCTTGCTTTTCCTATTTGTATCCCTTTAATTTCTTCCTCTTGCCTTATTACTTCAGCTAGTGCTTTGACTATTATATTGGAAGGGAGTGAGGATAGTGGGCAGCCCTCTTATTCTTGATTTAGATGATTAGATTTAGATTATTTCACATGCTTTTTTTCCATTTAGGATAATGCTAACTGTGCATTTGTCATATATACCCTTTATTGTGTTGAGGTGTGCTCTCTCAAGTTCTACTCTCTCTAGAACTTTTGTCATGAAAGCATGTTAAATTTTGTCAAAGGATTTTTCTGCATCTATTGATAAGACTACATGATCTTTTTTGTCTCTCTGCCTGTGGTAAGAAAGTTAGAATGGCTAAAATCAACAAGATGATTGACAACAAATGATAGCAAGGGCGTGGGGAAAGGGGAACTCTCAT